TCTCCGACTCAGTGTAAATAATTTTAAATAAATTTGATTAATATATTAATAAAGTTAGACAAGTGTTCTTTTATATTTTTTTATGTGTATACTTACCAGAATAAATTTCTTTTTCGCCCATTTCTATTTGTCTATGCGTTTTTACTACATCAAATGGAATAGTGACAAATGCTGCTATCTACAATGGTAATGTTTAGTATATTTAGTAAAAAACTCGTAAAATATATAAAACGTTGCAATAATTACAACTAAATACATACGGAGCCAGCTATTGCTCCTGCTGCCAAATTAAAAGCAAAAGTTTGTTGGGAGTGATATAATTTCTTTATAGTTTCATAATTTAACCAATATATCGCGCTAAAAGGAACATCACGAAGAAGTGTTGAACCTAATCCCATCCATAAACCAGAAATCCCACTATATCTCACAACTGTTTTCAATGCTTGTGTTATTTCTGAAACATAAAACATATTTAAAATCATTAAAACTTAATGTCAAAATTCATTAAAATATAATTTGATATGTATATTGTTAATTTACCCTACCTGCATAACTTAGTTTCTGTGATTGCATTTTTGTTCTTATCAACTCCAATGGACTCACCATTGTTGCAGCCCAGATTCGTGCTGTACCACCAGCTAATACGGGAATCCAAAAGGGTTGTTCCATGTTAGCTCCCTTTCTTTTATATTCTCTGTTATATGCATCCTGAAAACAATATTAAATATTTCATAAAATTAGAATTACTAGGAATCATATATTAATAGATATCAATAAATTAAAACTGAATAACAACATAAAAAAAATATTTGAGATACCTTAAGATATAATCTTAACTGTTCATATGAAACAAAATATACAATGGTTGCAGGTACAGCCAGAACAAGAGTAGGACTCAAGCCACTCCATAATGATAATATACCTTCCGTTTTACTTATTTTTAATAAAGCATCCTGAAAAAATAATCATTAATAATATATTTTAAAGATAATGTATTTTAATATAAAAAAAATTCTTAAATTATATTTATATAGTTATATCATAATTATATAGTTACATACAATTGTTCCATTAAATTTTCCATTTCTTCTCATCCATTCTGGCATTTTACCATTGGTACAAGGACACAAATGATCCATTAAACCATTGCAATATAAAAAACATTTATTTGAAAGCATTGCTTTCTGCTGTGTTTGAAGACGTATTTTAACTACATCCAATGGTGTCACTAAAAACATAAAAAAAATATAGATATTCAAAATAAATTATAATTATAAGCATTAAAAAAATTATAATATAGATACTTTTAATCTAACAAAAAAGAAAAAGATATATAAATACATCTATATCTAATATATACCTAAACAAAATATCATACCAGATATAATTTAATTTTATGATTTTCATAAACTGATATATCAAAATGACATTTTTGAAAAGTTGACAATATCTTAAATATTATTTTATAGAAAATATATTTGTATTTATATAAATGTTCTTATAGAACTATTTTATAAATATATTACTATCATATCTTAATTACTCAATTAATTAATTAACATCACCTATACACAAACTTACCAAATACTGAAGTGATGAATGCACCAGTACAAGAAGCCACGACTTGTTGATATGGTTTAATACGAAATTTTGGATCATCCAAATCAATATTTGGCGATAAATTACTTAATTCATTCATTGTAAAAATATTTTTTTTCAATCTACATCAACATAAGTTTCTTTATAAAAGTTAAAAATCAAGTCAACAGCGTGATACTTTTCAAGAGTAAAAAGATAACACGCACGACATCACGATAGATTTGTTTTTTTTGGAATGTTATATAGTAATTAATGAAATAACATTGTCAGTTAACTTCCCTCAAGTATGAGTGATACGATTGCATCAGATCTAATCTCATTGGCCACATTTAAATGATTATAGAAGCATTAAAATTTTTTAAATGATACTGCAATTTTTTTTCTGGAAACAGATCATGAAGTTTATTTAAATAGAAAGATGCTCGAAATTGGCCATGATCATGATTTATTTTGAAACTGAGTCTGATGATTTCTATTTGTTTCTATGGCCAGCGTTCATAGACCGGTTTCAATGAGTCTAGTTTCCACCGATGTCTTAGTTCGCTCCTACCTAATATGATGTAGAAATTCGTATGTACTTTCGTATTTGACCCGAAAAGTATATCGGTTTAAAGAATTATTTTAAATCGTTTGTATTTTAAGTTTTGTGAGTTAATCAGATAATTATAATTAAATATTTAAGAGTCAGCAGAAACAACAACCCAACTCATTTACACTACATTTGTGCAATGCAATACAAATTCGTATTTTATTTTATTTTATAGTAATATTTTCTCGAGGTAATATTTTGCCACGAGTCTTTTTTTTAATCCATATTTCACGAAGTCGCGAAACCTGTTATAAAGAGATAAAGCCAGCGACACACAATGCTTGTTTTTCTGTTGATTGCTAGCTGGATCGCGTGTTGCTAAGCTCTTGTCTTCGATTGGTATATTTTTTTAGATCTAAAAGAATATACCAATAATTAAAAGAATATACTAGCAGGAAAAAAAGCATCGTGTGCCGCTGGCTTATTTGCACCATAGACATAGTATAGATAGACCGAGCATGCTATATACCAGGCAATGGGCGACATGTGCAAGTGACAAGAAACAACACCTGATTTTTTTCTCTCTCTCTAATAGAAGAAAGTGGGGGAAACAATAAGTAGGGACTGTGTCTATGATAAGGATCATACACACAGTCCCCACTTAATGATTTCCGCTTCTTATTTCTTCTTCTGTTTCTTCTCACTCGCACATGTCGCCCATTGTCTGGTATATAGCATGCTCGGTCTATCTATACTATGTCTATGATTTGCACTATACTGCACTATAATGCAGTATCGCTGCAACTTCGAAAGTTCCGTTAGGCCCGGTCTACAATAGGTGATTTAAGCCTTAAGCCATAAGAAATTGATTGACAATTATAGTCGAAGAATAGAAGAATAATCGATACTGCATTATAGTGCAGATAATCTTATTTATTATTAAAACCAAAATACAAGTTACATTAATGATTTTATTTCAGCAAAATTATATAATTTTTTTAATAAGCCTTTATATAATTAATAAATCGATTTCTACGTTTTACAAGAAGTAAAAATCTTTTCTTTATAAGAATAGAAATCATTAATAAAACTTGATTGATGAAAAGATATAATTGACAATTTTGAGAACACCAAATTAATTCGCGTATTCCGTAGGGCTGATTCCTCGTACAGCGTAACTTACGTAAGCGTGAACTGCGTCATCCAACCAAATTGTCTCTCTACATAGATCAGTCTAGACTCTTATTAGACGATTTGATTGGCTGACGCATTTACGCTTACGCAAGTTATATTGTATGGGAAATCAGAGTGCCGTCACATGCGGCGTAACTTGCGTAAACGTAATCTGCATATTCTAGTAATTTACTAAAACACGTTAATGGAAAATTTACACATTTAAAACACCATTAATTTGGTTGGTTTTTGTAATCTGCGTATCTGGAAAAGTACGCTTCATGGGGAACCAAAACTTTATATGAAGCGTACTTTTCCAGATACAGATTATAAAAATCAATCACAAATTAGTAGTTTAGCATTTCTGTTAGAGAATATAACAGAAGCCCTAATCAGCAATTGGTTGTATTAATTACGCATTTCAGAGTGACTGCCGCGGACGTAACATTTTGGAGGTTCGTCCGGGATACCACGGCAATATTTTAATGGCGAAAGTGAAAAACAATGGCTTCAACAACGAATCTGAGGAAAAGGCCTCATCAAGAGACGCCAGAAGCGGCGATATTGGCATCGACTTTGCAGGTTGTCATCGAGGATGCGCCTGCTGAGAGAGAAATCGTCACTCAGAGAAATTGAATAGTGCAGCTACGACAGCGCTACGAAGAAATTCAACAATCTTTCAAGTAACTCTTAGTTCTATCTTATTTGAAGAGTGGGTATTGGCAATGTAAGATTCGTTCGGAAAATAAAACAGCTTTTTCCGTTGGGAACAGGATTATGACAGTTTACGGTAATGCCATTCGGTCTGTAACGCTTCTAACACTTTCGAAAGATTAATGGAATAGGTTTTACAAAATTTACAAAATTTATTTAGAAAAATTTGCTTGGTTTATTTGGACGACGTAATTATATTCAGTAAAAGTTTTGAGGAAATGATAATGAATTTAAAAAAAGTTTTTCTTCGATTTTGGGAAGTAAAGGTCAATCCAAAGAAGTATAATTTGTTTTGTAAGGAAGTTAAATATTTGGGGCATGTTCGGCAGAGGGAGTTACCACGGATCCGGAAAAGATTACTACTGTGAAGGATTAGCCAATTCCACACAATAAGAAACAATTGCGGAGTTTTCTCGGATTTTGCTCTTATTACCGAAGATTTGTGAAAAGCTTTTCTACATTAGCAAAGCCTTTATATAAATTAACGGAAAACCAGATTAATTTTTCTTCGGGGGAGGAATGTCAAAAAGCTTTCGAACAAATAAAACAAATATTAATATTCTCTCTGGTGTTTCCGTGTGGAGAAGGGGAATTTATTTTAGACACGGATGCTTCGGATATTGGAATTGCGGTCTTATCACAGAGGCAAGATGGAATGGAAAAGGTGAGGAAGTCCCAGTTGCGCATAGAATAAATCGGACACAGCAGGTTGAATGGATCGGACACAGGTCGAAACGGATACAATAACGAACGGACACAAGATGATTGAAATCGAACACAGTGAAAATCAGATACAATGGCAATCGGACACAGTGGCAATCGGATACATTGACAATCGAACACAGTAACAATCGGACACAGTGACAATCGGACAGTAACATCAACTCTGTTCGAGATTGGTCTAATTTCGTCTCTTTCGACTGTAATCTAAGTCTATTTTTTCCTCGCCGAATTTGCTTTTTGCTACATTTATGATTATACTGAATTTTTTTACCACTAAAAAAAGTTGGAAAATTGTTTCTAAATGACGGTAATGTTCTTTTTCATTGATTGACGCTACTAATATGTCATCGACATAGCCAAAGCAAGAGTCTAGTCCTCGAAGCGCTACGTCGATGAATCTTTGAAAAGATTGTGCTGCATTCCTTAATCCGAAAGACATTTGATTAAATTCAAAAAGCCCGAAGAGTGTTATTACCATTTTGTGCCAATCTTTTATGCTACCGAAATTTGAAAAAAATGCCTTAACCAGGTCAATTTAAAAAAAATTCTACAATTAGCTAGTTGATACGTAAAGTCTTGAATGTGTGGTAGCGGAACTTATTTGGTATTGTGACACTATTCAATTTATGGAAATTCCCATAAGATCGCCATCCGCCGTCGCTCTTCCTGACTAAATGTAAGGGACTCACTCATTGCGAGGATGATGATTGGCAAATTCTCTGCTCCATTGCCTCGAATTCCTTCTTAGCAACTTTGTATTTTGGAGGAAGTCTACCGGGCTGTTCGGCAACCGCTGGTCCTTTTGTCACTATATGATGTTTGACGTCATGAGTTACTTCATGTGATGCCGCTGAGTGTGTTATGTCCACGTACTTCCGCAGAAGTTACAAGCTTCATTAATGGTTGCTACTGATGGTTGCTTAGTAATCTTTGTATAGTCTTTTTGTTCGACTTCCATACATATTATTGTACGTCTGCGACGGTAACTTCTCACGTACTCTTTCAAAACACCGCGCGCACATACGATTCGGAGGAAACTATGCTCGGCAATGAACAACACTTTTTTTACAAAACACGTAGGCTTTATTTTAAACAGAGCAACTACAGAAATTTAATGGACACATATTCGTTCGTCTCGTCACCGCGCAGAACAACTCACAAAAACAACTTCGTTGTCCCGGAGAGCACTTCGCTTTTTCTCCAACTTCACTTGAAGTTAGAAGATCACTTCGCAAAAGACTCGCCTTGTGAACCCTGATCATGCCTCTCTTATTCATAATTAAAGAACGCGGGTTTTGAGTTGAAATCATTCACAACTTTTTTGAGTTTGGTCACAATTTGGTAATTTGCAAAAACAGCTGATCTCAGAGATGCTTTTCATTAAGAAACAGAATAATAATCTGAATTCACAGTCTGATATTAAATTCTTACATTACACATACGTTTTCGTCTTGAGCAAATTGTAATCTCCGTTTTGTTTTGATGTTGTTGAATTGTAGAGTCACCGCGCTCAGTTATTGCCTGGAGTTCAAGGTGTGCAGAAGTGCTATGAGATATACTGCTTGCGAACCGTGCCGCACTCCTGTGCGTGCTTTCCTCGGTTTAATGTAAACTGTGTTCATCTGACAATTGACAACCCCTTAAAGACTTCTTGTTCCTTTAAGAATGACATATATGTAAGATCATAATAATTTTAATTAACAATTTTAACATTGGTGAGCGCATCGAATGAACGCAGGATCTTATCTTTATTGTTATGTACATTGAAGATGACTCAAACTATAGTCGAAACGTTTGTATTATATATTTAAGATATAATAAAGATATAATAAAGAATGTCAATTCCGCATTGTGAACAGCGCTGATTCTCATTTGCCTATTTATCACATTTATTGAATACTGAGAATCACTTTATTAATATTAATTATTTTTTAGTATAAAATTGCAACAATGTTTCTTAGAATATTTGTGATACATTTTTATTTTATTCTGAAACAATAATGTCATTATTTTTCTGCTATTTATTAATTAATAGATATTCCCAAGATAAAAAGAAATGAAGGTTTGAAGCTGAAGATTTGAAGTATATTGTTGGTTACATTGCCCGTAAATTTCGAATAAAATATCCGTTTCTAGGTGAATTAAACTAGAAACTAGAAAATTAGAAATCGCAAATAATAATTTTGAATTCTTTTGTCGCGAGCGCCGAGAACGCAATCACGCTCACCGCTGACAAAGCGGATTGCGGCAAACGATACTTTATCCGACGAATTATTATTTTACCAAGCGATAGCGATTACCAACGCTACCGTGCTAAGCGCGCAAATATTGTGTAATCGTTCCACGTGAAGCAACTGTTAACCGCGTCGCGCGGCCCTTACGCGGAAAACCGCCGCGCGACCCAGAAATATACCGCGAACGCTGACGAACATGTTGATGACACGGCAAGGACCGGCCGCCTGGAACAGGATAAAAGCAGAAGACCGATACTAGGAGAGGACTCGTCGAGATCCGCGTGCCGTCACGTCTGTCGCGGTCCGAATTAAAAACGACAAACTGTATCAAGTGTTAATAAAATTTATTGAAATTAAAACGAAGTGGTGAGTGCTTCCTCCCCGCCGACTCCTTGACCGATCCATCGAAACGACCCGCACAACACTTTTTAAATGATTAATTTATCCATGTAAAAACTTGAGTAAACTACATAAGTGTCGGTTCACAATAGATGATTTAAGTTTTAAGAAGTAATTATCGTTACCCTTTTCATATGTATAAATAATTTAATAATGTATATTATTATAAACTAGAGAATTTAATAATTATTAATGTGGCGATACGCCTGGCGATACGCCACAAGCGCACACCCAATATAAGTCCTCAACACGCTTCTCACTTTTCAGACTGTGTTCACTGGACCTCCGAGAAGACTGTGCTCCCTAGATCTCTTGGAGAAGTATAAACGGCTCTTTTCAGAGTCAACGTACTAGCCTTTTTGCGGTGTAGAATGAGCTCTCCGGGCCTCTGTACGCTACCACAGAGTGTGCTCTCCGGGTCTCTATACACTACCATAGAGTGAGCTCTCTGAGCCTCTGAACCAACGACTCTTCTCAAAGCCACGCCAATAGCCTCCTGCGGTAGTTGCTCTGTCGCGGAAACATCGAGGCAAAAAGGATCTCCATCAACAGTCGTGACCATCACCTCAGCCTGGAGAAGCTCTCTTAGATCAGGGTGTCTCCTTCCTAACGTGGAGACTCATTCCTATAGAGTTTCCACATACAACGGGAACGACAACCGCCACGCAAACGAGTCCATGGCTATGCCCCTATTGGCATAAGCTCCCAACGAACGACGCGACCATCCAAACGAGTCCACAGCTTCCGTCGTCACCTCGGCCTGCAACTCCGTCATGGTCGACATTTATATCGGACATTTCTGTGAATATAGTGTGTCCGCCAACATCTTGTTCACGGACACCGGACAGGAAAAGGAGGAGGAAGCGCAGAGGCCACCAGATCCGTGTTCGTCAAAAGGAACTTTTCGGGACGAACTCCTCCGAGTGATCTCCAACGACAGAGACCTCAGGCTCTTCGAAGCCACAACAAGATCCAACAAAAATTAATTTGCTGTAGAACACTGACACCAAAAACACCTGTATTATTAGCCGTAATAAACATAATTATAAGATATTATAATTCAAAAAAAGTGGAAACATTAATCTCCTAATCACAATTAATAATAAAAGTAACAATAGTAATTTCTCAATTAAATTCATTAATTATCCTTTCACCGCTGGCTTAAATAAGGATTTTAGATCTAAAAGAATATATTAATCGAAGAGTTCAGCAAACACGCAAATCCAGCTAACAGGCAAAAAAGCATTATGTGCCACTGGCTTAAGATTGGGATCAAAATCCCTCAATGGCCGCTGAGCTATAAAAATTCGAAAGTCGATATTTATTCGAAAATGTGCTTAGATTATCTCCTTGTTCAAAAGAGGAACTTAGGATGTTCCAAGAATTTCAGAAAGCAGATAGTGACACACTCAGCGACTCTATATTTTTCACAAATTTTATTAAACGACGATCAGTCTCACAATACATGGCAAGAGCATTCACCCGCTCTTTCTTTTTATAATCCGTATTTATAATCAGAACTTATTTTGAAGATTAACTTAAATTTGGCCTTAAGGCGATGCTAAACTTGTCTGTATTACCGACAAAACGCAATAATTTTTGCTCTCATTTTTTAACTTTATAGATCTGGAAATCCTTTTCCACAATTAAAGTTTATGCATTAATACGTTTAGCATATGAATTTCGTATCAAAAACGAGAAAAATTTTAAAATTTAGATCTTTTTTACCATTTGGTACCTTAAAATGGCATCTAAAGCTATCAAGTCGCGTAAATATTTGCTTTATATGAAAGGCTTTTACAGCCTGTACAAAACTGATATTGCTAGATTAAAAGATTACATGAAGAAATAACTTCTTAGAATTAGGCTCAGACACTTATTACGAACAAAGAAGCATCACAAAAATTTGTTCATATGTGTATCATGTGTGTACAGAAATGTATGTATGAGTGTATGTATGTATACATAAATGTGTGTGTAGATGTACATATATGTACGTTTTTGTCAGAGTTCGCTCGTCAGTTTAGCATTCCCTTAAGACGCTCTGTAGATAGTCGAAGAATAAGACGGGACTCGAGCAAAATCTCAAATTAAAACTTATCAAGGATGATCTTATTTCAAAATGTCTTAATGTGTTTCAAAAACGTATCTTATTCAAAATAAGCATAGATTAAAGATTAAAGATTAAAGATTATCTTATTAATTCATAGTCATTTAAGATTATCTCATTTGACATATATATTGTTAAATAGAATAATTTTCATCAAGTCGTGGTCGAAAAGGATTTAAGCAGAGTTTCGTGTACATTATCTCATCTATTATTATCGAAAAATGTACACATTTTAAGATTTTCGTACAGCAAGAATATAGAAAGATACACAGGTTTGTAATATTTGTAACTAGAGAGCAACGGATGTAGTTTATTACAATACAACGAAAATCTTAAAATGTATAAATTTTCGTTAATTAGTATATACGAGATAGAATACGCAACAGAATATTAAAGCTACGTTCGGGGAGCGTGTTATTAACACTATCATTTCATGTTTATTATATGTTTATCATGTTTATTATATGTAAACTAAGGATAGAATGATGCGATAGTTTTAATAACGCGCTCCCCGAACTCAGTCTAGGTCCATTCTTTTTAGTTGAATATGTATGCAATATTTCCATTGAAAAAATTAAGAAATATCGCGGAAACAGCCGATTCATAAATAAGCACGATTTTAAGTATATCTTTCCGAAGACAATCTTAAATCAAATAAGAACTACTTAATCAGAAACTTCTTTGCAAAGATTATCTTCTTTCGTTATTATGAAATGTTCGTTACTATTATTGAGATAATCTTAATTGAATAAGATGGCCTTCGCCAAGCAATCTTAAGTGCTGATTTGAGATTTGACTATGAATACCGCCCATAGTGTCCCGCGTGCGCGCGCCAGTCTTCATTAATCATGCTTGACAATGAGTTCGGGAAGCTCGTTATTAGTGCTATTTAGCATTGCTACTCTTCGGAAAGCTAACTGATAGCGCTACCAAATACTATCGTGATGTCATATTGATAGCGTTTTTATATCATAAAACGCGCTATCAATATTATCGCTTTTGAGTTCATGGATAGCGTTTAATAGCGTTTGCGAGCTCCACGAAATAATTAACAGTGAATTGTCTGTTACACTGAATCTATTAATCCAAAGATTTTGAAGTTTTTGCTAAATTTCGATAAACAATTTAAAATTAAAGATTAAATTAATTAATTAATTAATTTAGGATTAAATAATTTTTTATTAACTTTGTTTTTTTGTCTATAATTTTAGTATTCTCAGTATATGTCTTCTTGGTATTTA